CCTCCTTCTCCTTGCCATCAGAACTGCATTGCATTTGTTACTGAAATGTTAAAATTACGACCTATTTACCTGTAGCAGCAAGGGCATGTCTCAGTCCTGCAGCAATATCCAACACCATCTCTTTCAGAGACTACTCAAATAAAAGGAAAAATTTTAGTTGCTTTTTGAGTTTAGTGCCTCTAAAAGCAAAGTACACCAAACAGAAGTGGGACACTGTAAAATAGTTCTTGCAATTCCAGCCTGAGTGTCACAATGCCTATCAACATTTTATATCACAAGGGAAGTCAATTTTAGCCAACAAAACATAGTGGGAACATATTAAAAAAAAAAAAAATCAAGTGAAGCAAGTGGTTGTGCAGCTTTGTGGCAATAAATAAAAAGCCACAGTCAGAATTTTCACATGAAACAAAGAACCCTGGTGATACAAATACCTTTATTTCTTTATTTTAACTCAACCTTCCTCAAGAATGACACCAAAACCTCCATGGCAAATACCAGTGGCAGCAATAACTAATCAGCAGTAGTAAGTTCCACCAAGCTGTTCAGTCTTACCAAGTCCAGCAATCACAAACAACACCAGTGACAGCACCACCTCCACCACCAGGAAGATCTCCTGACACCACCACACTAAGGAGGACTATACCAAATTACACGTCCACAGAAGTTTGCACAAGGTACTTCAGCTCTGGCACTTCTCCACTTCTGAGCACTCTGCTGATTTATTATTTTTCTCACAGACATAACACTATTTAACAGACGTCATCAAGCCCAAACATTTAGCAGGATACAAACCAAAAGAAAATATTTCAGATGGTCTGTATGGCCAGGGAGACAGATTCAGATTAGCACTGTCTGTGCTCCCATTTTCAAGGCACCACTCTGGAATGATGCTCCCAGGGAACATGAAGGCTACAGAAACATCAGGTGGGTTAACCCACACTCACTAGGGCTACCAAGGGGATCATCTGGCTGCCTCCTACATTGCAACAGCAACAAAGGGGTATTTGACACAAGCCATGAGGCTACATCCTTGTATGAGAATCCTTCCTGCTCTGAAGTTATTGCTTTCATTAGACATGAGAGGTCACGTGGATGGAGAAGAATTTCATTAGTGCTCTCCAAATAAACTACAGTGTAAATTAGGGATTAATTAGAACTCCTTTGAGAAATTTCATTGAACTGTTAGACTTATAGCCAACAACAGAAAAGCTTTTCTGATGTTACAGAAGTCTCAGTACCTACTGAGCAATTAAAAGCAATTAATTTGGAGCTACTCCAAGCTCCCCACTTGCACTCAGGAGCACCTCACCTACAAATATCACCACAGACTACCACATGATTTACAGGTACAACATCAGTCAGAGTCCAGCCTTCAGCATTTACAACTGAAGGTACTGGACAACAGAGAAATTGTTACTCACTTTTCCATCCTACTTCCTTGGAAGCTGAAATTGTTTGGTAAATATTGGAACTTAGATAAGAAGCCAGTCAATGTACTTGTCAATTCCTTTACATGCAAAAGTAAAAACCATTTTAATTTTATAACTTTTGAGATTAAAGTTTATTCTCTCAGTCTGGTTTTCCTGCAGCTACATGCTTTCTCACAGTATCATTATTTTGGGGGTGACACAGTTTATTTATATCTAAGGTACAGTCTATATTTGGGGGGAAGAAGCTCTGACAGTTATAAGTAACTGCTGAAACAACAGTAAGCACAAGCCTCCAACAAGGGACAGTCAAGGCACATACCCCTGACAGAGCAAAACGTATCTAGTCTCTCACAAACTTGAAGCAAAACTTCAGCTGGAATAAATTTACAGTTTCGCTACCTTTAGTATCACTTTACATCATCTGAGCATCAGACATTCTGCACAGGTTTTCAGAATACATAATGAAACATTCTATTCCCTAGTGAAAGAGACAACTGTCTGTTAAGAAGTGGGCAACTTCTTGATACAACAAGAAAAGCAGCCTTAGCTTCTCATTTCTGGGTCAATGACCATCTCTGCTCCTTCACTTTTTAAGTTTACTATAGGCTCTCAGAAAAAAAAAAAATAATTGTTGAAGAATCTGGCTTAAAGCTCACTCAGAGCAGATGACCTTTGTAAGTTACTGGAAGCAATACAAAGTTCAGAGCTCTCAAGCACAATTCATTTCAAATCCTTACCTCGATCCTCTGTGGAATCAAGCATGGACCTGAAATTTGAGGAATCCCTAATTGTCCAAAAGAGTTGGACCCACAGGACAGCACGAGACCAGATCCTGCAAAATAAAGTATTAGAGCCCAATCAGAAAATCCATCAGTAAGCAAAGCAGTGTAACATTCCAACAAGCAAAATATCACACTCAAGTAGCTCAAAAAAGGACCTAGCATGTTGCTGAGGCCACAGGCTTCTGGTCTCACACACCATGTTCAGTTCAGGGCTCAAGTTTACTGGGATGCAAAGAACATGGAGTGAGTTACTTTGCAAGGCAAGTAACTTAAAACCTGTGTTTTAGCAATAGCAATGTGGAACTTTCAGTGTGTTCTCTACATTAAGATATTTCTTCAGCTCTTAGAGAGACAGATTTACCTACTAATATGATTGTAAAATCCCAGCCACAGGCAACTCGTTTTACACCAAAGCCAGCCAGGGCAGTGCACAAAGTAAACTGCAGCACATCCTCTGTGTGATTCAGTCCCAACTGCCCATCTTTGTTGTGGCCACATACAAAGAGTTCTCCTGCACCTGGAAAAAAAAGAAAACAAAAAAAATCCTGTGCCACGTCACAGATTAGAATGATAAGCATACATCCATGAGTTCCTGGGACAAATAAGGACAGTGATCATGCATCATTTTAGGCACTGCAATCAAGCAAAAAGAAAGAAAATTTTCTGACACATCAGAAACACCTCTGCATAAGTACATCTATGGAGAGGTGGGTTTGTCAAGAGAGACAATCCCTGCACTAAGACAAGCACCTCTCACTAAGATGCATGACAAACTTCTCACATTCACATGTCTGCACCCCTTCTTTCCATAATCAGCTGCAGCATACAGCAGAACCTTTCAAAGAGCTGATGCCACCTTCTGCTCCTTACCTTAAAACTTCTCAAGACTGAATAACCTCCCACTTGACGCCTCCCTCCACCTTCTCATCCTCAACTCAGCAAAACTGGCTGCTTTGTATGAAAAGCCTTTACATGAAACAGGTTAAGAAACAGTCCTCACATAGCTGTAAAGTAACCACAGAAGATAAACAAACCAGGAATTTCCACAATTTCCAAAAAATTTTGAGTTAATCGCAACAGGAGGAACCGGTTTTGCAGCTAAGACTTGTACTTGCTCAGGAACAGAAGCCGCAGAGAGGTGGCAGCACCAAACCAACATGGAAACAGGAAAAAAAAAAAAGAGTTCAGAAGTCACTGAACCCGGCAGGGCAATGTTTTTACCAGTGATAACTGCAGAATGTCCCCCTCCTCCAGCAATGCTCCTCATGTCTTGACATTTGCAGGAAACATCTTTCAGTGACTGAGGTACCAGCACATCCTCTTTATGACCAAGCCCAAGTTGTCCGTAGCTGTTTGCACCCTTCAAATATATGAAGAAAAATAACATTTAAAAAAAAATTAAAATATACACAGCTGCTCATAAAAGTGAATAAGCCTATCAGGGACATGTCACAGGTTAACCTGCCAGTCTTTGCTCCTGAAAATCCCCCAGAATGGTGATCTTCATTCCTACTGCTGTCACACAGGAGCCCCAGAATTACAGACCAGGATCATTCCAAATTTTCTGTCATTAAGGCTGTCCTTGCAACTCCAGTATTTTAAGAAACATACTGGAGTACATTCTGGTAAGACTGTAACCACAGGCTAACAGTTCCTAAGCAGGAAAGCCTTATTATGGGCTGGAACACCTCTCCTACAAGGACAGGCTGCAAGTTGGGGTTGTTCAGCCTGGAGAAGGCTCTGGAGAAACCATATTGTGGCCTTCCAGTATCTGAAAGCAGCCTACAAGAAAGATGGGGAAGGACTTTTTACAAGGACTTGGTAGTGATAGGATGAGGCATAATGGCTTAAGACTGGAAGAGGGTGGATTCAGATTAGAAATTAGGAAGAAGTTCTTCACTGTGAGGGTGGTGAGACACTTGCACAGGTTGCCCAGGGAAGCTGTGGATGCTCCATCCCTGGAAGTGTTCAGGCCAGGGTGGATGGGGCTTTGAAGAACCTAGTCCCGTGTGAGGTGTCCCTGCCCATGATAAGGGAGGCTGGAACTAGGTGATCTTTAAGGTTCCTTTCAACCCAAACCATTCCATGAGTCTATAATTCTGTTATCAGGATGATTAGTGCCTGTTGAATTTTAATGCTAATGATTTTAATTTTAATGATTTCCACTCATCACTAACATTTTATTCATGCCAATGCTTTCTGGCAGTCCACCTCCAAAACTCTATCAGGAAGAATTGCCACATTGTTGTGGAACAACAAGTAAAGTAAGTAAAGCAGAAACACATCCCTCACTAACTATGTCTTCTAACTTAAAGCTATCAAAACGAAAATATACCAATTATGAACTTGTAAGTACCAAATTATAACCACTGAATGAATCACAAAAAGCAACTACTGACAACACAGTGACGTGTCAGGGAATTGCTTACCCAATTCAAGCCCTGTTAAGCATCCAACAGTCTGACCAGCAGCCTTCATTCATAAAGTGGATTCAGTAACTCCCCCAGCCCACACTGCAGCAACAGCAACACTCAGCACCCACACTGCTCCCAGATGGTGACCCCCAGGGAAGGGAAGGCTTTTGGTACTTCACCCATGCCTCCCTCCCCTATTTGCCCTCCTCTTGCCCCACACCCTCCCAAGGACACAGGACCTGGCATAGCTTAAAAGGACATATAAAATAAACATTTTGTGCCTACAGGAAGAGCAAGCAACATTTTAGGCAAAAGCATCAGGCTGCTCACCTCAGCCCATAGCTAACAGGTGGATGTCAGGGTTCGATCTCAACAGGCCGATCAGGTTGTTGTCTCACAGTCCTACTAGTGGTACACAGTTTTACTGCGTGTTATGATTTAGCAGTCATAGTTCTTTTTAGAGGGCGCATCACAAGCTCTCATTTTAGCCTACAACTTGTAATGAATTTTCAAGACTTCAAAACCTGGGAAGCTGGGATAAGGTGCAGAAAGAAGGCAGGTTCCTGAGGAACCGAGCGCCGCACGCGTCGGTCCCAGCCCGTGGGGCCTGTGCCCCGTCTGCCTCCACTGACCCTGGCCAGCCTGACGGGCGGTCCCCAAACACGGCTGGCGAGCGCAGACCCAGCTAGCGAGGCACGGACACCCACTTAACGGCTCTGGGACCTCCTGTGTCATCAGCTGAAATCACAGTTCTGATGAACCACCACCACAAACAAGCAAAGAAACAGTCTCGTTTCTCCCGGGGAGCTCAGGACCGGCCCCCAGGCCGCACGCTCCGAGCGGAACGCGGCTCCCCCGCCGCCCGCAGGACGCCCGGG